CTTGGTTATAAATCTTTGTTTTTCCTAATTTTGAGTATTTCATGCCAATCCCTTCTGGCCTGCAAAGTTTTGTTGAGAAATCAACTGACAGTCATATGAGTCTCCTTTGTAGGTAAATAACTGCTTTTCTCTTGCTGCTTTTAGGATTCTCTCTTTGTCTTTAATCTTTGCCATTTTAATTATAATCTGTCTTGGTGAGAGCCTGTTTGGGTTCATCTTGTTTGGGACTCTCTTTTCACTTTCTGGCTTGTATGTCTATTTCCTTCACCAGGTTAGGAAAGTTTTGAGTCATTATTTCTTCAAATACATGCTCAATTCCTTGCTTTCTCTCTTCTCGTTCTGGTTCCCCTGTGATGTGGATGTTGTTACACTTGATGTTGTCCCAGAGGTCCCTTAAACTACCCTCAATTTGGGGATTCTTTTTTCTTTTTGCTGTTCTGATTGGGTGCTTTCTGCTACTTTGTCTTTCAAATTGCTGATTCAATCCTCTGCTTCATCTAGTCTGCTGGTGATTCCTTCTAGTGCATTCTTCATTTCAGTTACTATATTCTTCAGTTCTGACTGGTTCTTTTTTATGGTTTCTATGCCCTTTTTTATGCTTGCTATTTCTCTGTTGAAGTTCTCAGTAAGTTCCTTGAGCATCCTTATAACCACTGTTTTGAACTTTGTCTCTGGTAGGTTGCTTGCTCCCATTTTGTTTAGTTCATTTTCTGGATTTTTCTCCTGTTCTTTCATTTGGGGTGTATTTCTTTGCTTCCTCATTTGGCTGCCTCTCTGTGCTTGTTTCAGTGTATTAAGTAGAGCTGCTATGTCTCCTAGTCTTGCAAGGTGGCCTTATGTAACCTCTTGCAAAGTTACACAACTGTGAGGCCCAGGGGCACAGTTTCCCTGGCCACCTGAGCCGGGTGCTCCAGTAGTGTCCCTTGTGTGGGCTGTGTGTGTCCTCCTGTTATAGTTAGCCTTGATTGCTGCTGGTACATCAGTGGATGGTATTGACCCTCAGGCTGATTGGCTAGGGGGTTTGGCCACATCCACAGCGTATGGGCTGCTGTGTAGGAGAGCTTACCCCATGAAGTGGGATTTTCCTCAGGGGACTCTGGTGCCTTTGAGACCACCCTTTGTGTGTGCCACTTATGGGGCTAATTGGGTGGTGTTCTGCTGTGGTCTGAAGCCAACTTCCAAGTATGTTGGCTCTGGGGCCTTTGGGGAGGGGCTTTGGTGCTGACCCAGGTCAGCCACTGCCTGTTACTGGCTGGGGAGTACTTGGTAGGAGTTATAAAGGGATCCAAGGTTGGTTGCTGCCTGTGCTGTACCAGGAGGTTCATGGAGAGGCCACACTGCAAACCGAGGATGTCTGCCACCAGTACCGGGTCTGGGGTAGCTCCACAAAAAGCCTGCTGCCACCTGCCAGTTCCCATAAGGTTCAGCCCCTGATAAAGCCTCTCGCAGTATGCAAGTAGGGGAAGGCATGATCTCAGTGAGTCAGCAGGGTGGAGGAATGGTACTCACCAGACCAATCAGATTTGAATTTGGTCCTGTGGGGTTGGGCTCAGCACAGTAAAAATGGTGCCTGCCTGCTGGCTGCATGGGAGAAGGGTCCCACACAGGGAAAATGTGGACTGTTTCTTCAGTCCTCACTCCAAAGTTACACAACTCAGTCTGTCCCCATATCTCTCTGATGCCCCCAGAGTCACCGTCCCTTTGCTGGAGCTCAGGGTGAGTGCCTGTGTGGGCCCTTTAAGAAGATGTCTGTGTTTCCCGCAGCCTTCTGTTCCACCCAGACAGTAAACATCTCCACTGTTTTTCACAGCCAGATGTTGTGGGGACGCCTCCTCCTGGCAGCAGGACTCTGGGCTGGGGAGGCTGGTGTGGGGTTGGGGCCCCTCGCTCCTCCATGGGGAACTTCTGTGGCTGAGATATCCCTCCCAATTTTCATCCACCACACAGAGGTTGGGGGTTGGTTCGTTTTGCATCTCCACCCCTCCGACCAGTCTCAACGTGGCTTCTTTATATCCTTAGTCATAACACTTCCATTCAGTTAGACTTCAGATGGTTCTCCAGGTTGATTAGTGTATAATTTAGTTGTAATTGGATGTGTTTACTGGATGAGGCAAGCATAGTGTGTCTCTATTCTGCCATCTTAGATGTCCTTTCCCAGAAAAGATAATTTTAAAAATGAACTTTAAACATGATATTTGGATGCTTACTTTAATACTTTAATACTGAAGCATATATGGGCTAAGGTATATAAAATTAACTACAAAATAGACTAGTTTGTAAGTTGAGTTGAAAACTATCAGGAATACTCTGGATATATAGGTTCCATGCTTCCATTTTGTTTTTGTTGTTGTTTGTTTCTTTGCAATGTCTTCTATGAATTTTTAATTAAACATATATCAAACAGAGCAAGGATTTGGTAGAAGCTACAGTTTAGAGAAAATGAATTCATCAAATAATTATAAGCAGGTTTTTCTTATTTTATTCAGGGCACCATCATAATCTCACCATCCTGAAGGATCCTGTCTCAGACTTGCTGATATGAACAAATATGGTTTGTTGTGTGTTTTTGTGTTTAAAGTGGTAGAGTGGAGACTTTTGAGATCCATCCCCTCATCTAGGCCTGCAAAACTGAGTTTAAGCTATCCTGGTCTTACTGAATAAATATTTAAATATTATTTTATTTTTACCAGTCATTTCTGATACTTCCTGTACTTTATACTGCAAATGTGGTAGAATCTGAGACACATGTTTTAAATGCATCTAGTTTGTGGTTGTTTGGGTGCAAATTAAATGCAGGAAAACAACCCCAAATAGAGTGTGAGTGCCCAAATCACAGAGGTTTATGCATCCATAAAAAGAGACTAGATATAGGGATTTTAATTGGGAAAATAATCTGATATTGTCTCTGGGCTCCCAGAAGCTCATTCAAATGTTAAATTTTTTGGAAGGTCTTCATATTTACTTTTCTATTGAAGTTCCAAATTATTTTTGCAAAAATCAGTTCTAAGTGATACTGTTAAAATGTCTGCCTTCACTTTATTGTAAGGTTCAAGGTTTGTGGATGTGTACTATTGATTTAAATTCTGGTAGCTGTCCTGAAAAGAAACAAAAATGCATAAAACTCTAGATCCAAAAGTGCCCATTAGTAAGCTCTGAATATGCCAAGCTGTCAAGCAATATTACAGCTATGATCTTTAAAGCATTTGAAAGAAAGCTGGATAACTGTAAAAAGCTGGTTTTTATGGCTTTGTCTATGCCAAAGAGATTGTCCAACAGAAAGCACCCTGGTAAGCTTAATTATTACTCCACATATGGTACGTGGCATTATAAGCTATTTTGAGGTTTTTGGAAAGGGAGCAATCTCTGAGTGACAACCACAGCAGGGCGTACTGAGGAATTTTAACTCCAACTCTCCCATGTTGGCAGAACATAAAACACAAAATGCTGTTTTAGTAACCATTCTTTCACATATTTATTTTCAAGGCAAATAATTTTGTCAAAATTTATAAGACGGACTGGAGAAGGAAGTGATATTCAAAAAAGTCAGACTAACATATCTATATTCAGCGAAGATTGTTCTTCCACATATTATGCTGTTATTTACAAAGGCAACTGTTATTTCCTACTTTAAAATCAGAAGCTTTTATGTCAGTTTATTTCAAGAATAATGCAGAATCTGATTTGGAGTACAACTGAAGCTAAACATTAAAAAACATTGAATTTGTATGTGTAGGTAGTTGCACAAAATATATTGGAAGAATGAACGCAGAAATATGGAAGCAATCAACCATTTATCAAATTTGCCTTTAGTTGATTATGTTTGAATGGACCCTCAGAGAGAGAAAATAGTTAAAGACATTAAATGAAGAAGATTGTTTTATACTTATGATTTCAATATGTCAGTCCAATGAGAACTACTTCTAAGTCACATTGGTGGGTATCACCATATGGCTTAAAATGAAATTCAGACATCCCCCTACCTTCATCCCTGAAGCATATTAAAGGTCAGTCTTACTTATTGTTTAGTTGTAGAATGTTTTGCTCCGCAGTTGTTATGACAGGGGATACACATAATTCCTGGGACATATGAAAGATGTTTATACATATTAAGCAATAATTATGCTTACATCCTCTATCACACTTTGTAGGATCTCGAAAGACTGACTTTCCCAGTCCAAGAAACTTATATTCCTGGCACCACATTTTCCTGGTTTGGGATAAAATAAATACAAATTTTCTTCTTTAGCAGAATAAAGGGATATATCTCTCTGGTTTTCAATTTTAAATTCTAAAAACAGGACATTGCTTAAAGCTAAGGATTATCTTAGCTAAGGTGGAGTGACTGGGAGCAGATAATTAATATTTCTAGTAGATCTGTATTCATGTTCAAGGCTAAAATAAAATCATGACATCAGGATTGTGGGTAGCATTTTGTTCTTTTGTTGTTATTTCAGATATAGCTTTGACACAAAATCAGATACACTTTACTTACTGCCATTGGAAAAATGAGGAAAACCAAATCCGGATTTTAACTCAGCCTTTGCTTATATTTTAAAGTCGAGTGATTCATAAATATCTGTGGAATACAGATGAAAATGATATTTACCGCTTCAATTTTCCGTTTGAGAGTGAAATGTAATTAGTTTTTAAATCTGGCCTTTATCTGCTGCTATTCCTGTGTTCTCCAAAAGGTGGCACTGTGTAATCTTTTTCTTTCTCAGGGTGCAGAGAACCGGGGGAGCCAGAGGGACCGCAATGAATTTTCCGAGTTTTTTTTTTTTTTCGATAAACTCCAGCCACGTCAGAAACCTCATTTCTGCAACTGCAGCTCCTTTTATGCCCTAAGAACCCTTCAAATAAGAATTAGTCTGATTTTTGTGAAAGAAAAACATGTTTCCCGTGGCAGCTTGATTTAAACTTCGGAGTTCTTTATCCCAAGTTTATTTTATAATGTTCTTCTCTTCTGACCTTTGACTAAAGTTTTAATTCTTTTTTTGTAGATAACCTTGGTCTATTTGAAGTTGCCTTTCTTGATTAGAATGCATAAGCAACACAGAAGTATGTCTGGACTCTATCTAAACAAAGCTTTCTGACAACATAAATCCAGAATGATAAATCATTCAGACAGGAGAAATCTTTTGAACTGCGAACAGACAGGAAAAGAACAGAACAGAAAGAGGCACAGAGAGAAAGGAAAACACGTTGGAAAGATTCTGGTGATGAGACAGGAATAAACAAATGAGACTTAAAAATCAAACGTGCAGCTTCTTTCCAGCAACGCATGTACATTCGCGCCCAGTCCCTGCAGCGGGAAAGAATTTTAAACGTGATCTTCTGAAGTCCGACCACTTCATTTTACAGATGAGGAATCTGAGTCCCAGGAAGGAAAGGAGTGTGTTCAATGGAACACAACTGAATTCTCTTTCTACTTCTGTTGAAACCATGCAATGATCTGCCAAAGAGAGGTGTAAAGCCACAAATCCTAGAAAACAAAATCTGACTTTAAAATTGAGTCTCTTTAACGATGATTCTTGTTTTCAGGCACATATTATTTTGAGCCACTATGCTAGCTTAGAAGGCCTCCTCTGCTGCAGGCATGAATATTAATCATGTAAGTTATAGATCTGTGCTGTCCAATACAGTAGCCACTAGCCACATGTGACTATTAAAGTATAAATTAAAATTAAATTAAAAATTTAGTTCCTCAGTTACCTGAGTCATGATTCAAGGGCCCAACAGCTATATGTGGCTGGCGCCTACTATACTGACCAGGGCACACATACAATGTTCTACCATTGCTGAAACCTCTCTTGGATAGCTGTGTTAGAGATTATTAACTGTAGGGAGTATGAAGAGAAGGCAACACAAGGTCAGGGACATAGTGTGATGGGCTAATTCAGTGCATAGTGAGTGACTAAAAGCATTCGTCTCATAATTTACATGGGTTTATAAGCAAGTTTACAATCAGGCTGATGTCTTTTATGCCTTCTCTCCCTCCCTTTCTCCCTCTACTTTTGCCTTCTCTAATGTTCACTTTTACATGTTCAATAAATCTTTGTGAGTGCCGTATTTATTTCATCTTGTGTGCATTATTCAATTAAATTTCACAATGTCCATCGACATTGCGGTAGGCAAGTAAAAGGAAGAGTCAGATACTCTGTGGTAATGAATCGGGCAGGGGGAAACCATGTTTCTAGAGCCCAATCAGGATGCGGAATGAATTCCTTGGACTGTTTGAATTAGGAAAAGGAAGTATTATCAGAATAATTATGCAAATTAAGAGATGGAAGCTTATTCTGAGGGGTTTAATGACTTGCCCAAAATAACACAGATCATAAAAAGAAAAAAGTATCCTCAGACTAAAATCCATGTCTTTTAACACCAAGTCCAGTGCCTTTAAAAAAAAAAAAAACTTGTTGCTAACCCAGGGTAGAGATTGGTTTATGCCAACTTCCTAATTTCTTCTGACACCTGCCAAGGAATCATCAACTAAGTTGTGCCTTGCACTTGTCAACATTCTTTCTTTTTTAAGTCCATTTTCCAGAATTTCTGTGAATTCAGACAGAATTATATTTGTGTTTTAACACGGGCTTCTCTTTAGAGTTCTCAGTGAAAAAGAAGGCTTGGAAGACGCTTGTGTTGGATTGGTCTGTGATGATGTTCTTTCTATCAATACTTTGAACTCTTGGGCGTTAACAGGGTTTACATGTAAATTAAACAAATGTTCGTTCTATAAAAAAGAAGATATAACCTTATCAGCTGGCAGATGAATAAAATTACACTATTTGTAGGCACTCAGAACAGCCTCAGTGGCATGCAGCTTCTCAGCGTTGGTGCTCCCCCATGCCTCTCTGTGTAACAGCATGATTCATTTGAGCACACCTAAATTCAGATGTTATCCAAACTCTAAGTCTTACATAGATTTTTCTCTTCCCAGCAGCTCATGCTTGGAAATTTGACATCACCACCTTCTGATTCAAGTTGCTTAGTAATGGGCTTTAACTGGGCTGCCCCTGCACCACTGTATTTGGAAGACATCCACTTCCACCATATGCCACTCAGTATAAAAGTTAGTGTGATAGAGACTTTCCACTACACATAACGAAATGTTAATTTTAGTGTTTTGTTGAGTTTTCAGATACTTTGGGTTACTTGCAATTATTTCAGTCACAAATTATATTATAGTGAGATGGTACTGCATTTATTTATTAAATGGACCTAGGTGCAGATTGTCCTTGTCTTTATCAATAGAGACCTCCAGTAATGCTACCATGTTTTCTTATTCTATTCATCAAATTTGCCATGTAGGATTTGTCATAGGAACTTTTTTGGGAACTTTTTTCCAGTTCTTCATAGAACACTGCCTGATTCCATCATCCTTTTCATTTGGTCATACTTTTTCCCTAAAACAAATAAACAAAACAAAACAAACAAGCTGGCAAAAATCCTCATTAGAGAGACTTTTCTACTTTTTAGTGATTTGTACTCCTTTCTTCCCAACCTATTAATTCAAAGAATCTTCCCCTTATCTACAATTCATTGGTTCCTCTCTTTCAAGGTTCCTATAGTACCTTCGAATTCAAAGGTTCTCATAACCAGGCCGGCCGAGTGGCGTGATGGTTAAGAACTGGCTTGAGACACCAGAGGGCCCCGGTTCGGATCCCACATATGAGGCCCAGTGACACTGCGCTCTACAGCTAAGATGCTGAACAACAGCTCAACCTGGAGCTGGGCAGCTGTGAGTCGCCGGCGATGGCGTAGGCTGCAGCCCCTGCTGCAGTGGGTTGCCGTGGGCTACCATGTGTAGCCAGCAGCCAGCGTGAGCGGTCAGCAGCTGCAGTGAGCAGTCTTCCAGAAGCCAGCGACTGATCTGCCTCTCCCGGGAAGAGCGCAATGATGGTGCCAACTTGGGCCAGTGAAGCAACGTCCTCCACAACTAGACTGAAGAACAAAAGGACAGCAACTTGTCTGTTCCCCTTCCCCCAATTCCCCAAAAAACTCTTCCCATCCTCCAATTACCTAATAAAAAAAATCTTAAAATAAAAAAAAAGGTTCTCATAACCAACAATATTTTTCATGCATTTCAAATATACTCTTTTTGGACAATAAAATTACATTCATGCATTAGATAATATACAATGCCCAGTGTACTGAAACAAATTCACTTTATCATAGCAGAACACTCCCTTGCTATGCAGCTTTGGGGAAATGACTATCATTCTGAACTCCAATGTTCTCATGTGAAAAATGAAGTAAAAAAATATATATAATAAAAATAAATCTATATTGTGGTACTCTTATTTTTCTTTTAAAAGAGTAAGAAAAACATAGTAGCTAGTAATTTTTTTCCTTATAGGTTGTATGACAGAGACTAACTCAAAATATTATTTTCTAGAATGTATTATCACTAGTGAAAGTAATTGTGGGAAGCAAAAACTTTTGGTCAAAGGTAAAATTGTTATTTCCTTGAATATTTGATGACTTCATGTTAGTAAGACTATAGCTAGAAGTTTTGCAAAATAAGTATATTCTGATACTGGTTACAAACACAACCCTTCTATGGTTAGCTGAAAAATGAATTTGTGCCATTAAAATATACCCCAGTTTATATAACATTGCATTAGAAAATGCCACAGTATTCTTAAATAATTCACTCCTGGAAATTGAATGCTACTTAAAATGGCATTTGTTTCAGCTGAAATCATTTGCATTTTTTCTGTGGCTTGGGGATCTCTACATCAAATGTAGGGGCACAGAGCTGTCTTTCTTCCTAGACAAGCCTCAAAGATGCACCCCTCCACTCACAGCCACAACCCATTTTAACTACCCAGTTAGGTATTTTTTTTTAAAAAGTATGCACCTTGATCACACTGTGCTATGTGGTTCTTAGGATTAGATGGAAATTTTGCATACAACAGAGAAATTCTAAATCTGAGTTATTACTTTAAAAATATTTTGGAAACCAGAATAGCCAGACTATCACTTTATAGATTTTGCTTCCAAATATAAGTTACATATATGGTCTAAACACTGGCTAGCTCAATATTGCTGTGATGTCAGCTCAAATCTCAGGTGCTCCATAAAAGCTTGCTGAATATTTGGGCTCATAGTACTCTATGAATACTTTAAAGCACACATTTTCTATTGTCATAGTATTCTCTCACTCATTACTCATCTCTTTAACATGGCTCTTCTCTTTTTTTCCTCTGGATTTTAAATATTTTTATTTTTAAATTACAGCTGGCATACAATATTAATTTCAGGTGGACAACATAGTGATTTGACATTTATATAAGAGATCACCCCAATAAATCTAGTACCCACATGGCACCATACATAGTTACAACATTATTGACTGTATTTCCTGTGTTGTACTTTGCATCTCTGTGACTATTTGTAACTACCAATATGTATTTCTTAATCCCTTCCCCCTTTTCACCTACCCCTCCAACTTCCTCCCATCTGGCAACCATCCAAGTGTGCTCTGTATCTACGAGTCTGTTTCTGTTTTGTTTGTTCATTTATTTATTACATTTTTTAGATCCCACATATAAGTGAAATCATATGGCATTTGTCTTTTTCTGTCTGACTTATTTCATTCAGCATAATATCCTTTGGCTCTATCCACGTTGTTGCAGATGACAAGATTTTATTCTTTTTTACGGCTGAGTAATATTCCATTGTATATATGTATGACCTCCTCTTTATTCATTCTTCCATAGACAGACACCCAGGCTGCCTCCACATCTTGGGCATTGAAAACAATACTGCAATGAACATATGGATGCACACATCCCCTTCAAAGCAGCGTTTTGAGTTTCTTCAGGTAAATACCCAGAAGTGGAATTACTGGTCCTTCATTGTCTCTTGTTATAGCCTTTGTTTTAAAGTCTGCTTTGTCTGGTATAAGTATTCCTACTCCAGCTTTTTTGTTTGTATGTTTCCATTTTCATGAAATATCTTTTTCCTTCTTTTTTCTTTTAGTCTGTGTGTATCTTTTGATTTGAAGTGAGGCTCTTGTAGACAGCATATGTAAGGGTTTTGTTTTCTTATTCATCCAGGTTTTCTTTTGATTACAGCATTAAATCCATTTGCATTTAAAGTAATTGTTGATAGATATGTATTTATTGCCACTTTATTATTCATCTTTTTTTATCTTTCTTTTGTTCTTCTTAATGAAGTCCCTTACCATTTCTTATAATACTGGTTTGAGGGTGATGAACATCTTTAGCTTTTTCTTGTCTGGGGATTATGGCTCTACTCTTGATTCAGAAAATGTAAGATCCTGAAGTACATGATCTATTGATTATATGTCCTTGACATGAGCAAAGCACTGACCAAACTATAATAATTCACCCTAAGATATAAATTTGATCAAATTATGTTTCACAAATATAACTTTGCATAAACTACTTTCAAACAAAAAGAAAAAACTGAAAAATAAAGGAACACAGTAACATAAAGTATTTGGTTTTATTAATTTTGATTACAAGACTTTGTACTCAGTTGATATGTAATAACTACTTATTGATTTGCCATTGTAAGACCTTTGCTTCTTTCAGATTCTATGTTTGACAAAATGCAATTTATAATTACTATCTATTTTGTGATAGTAGAATATTCACTCAAAACAAAAGAATTGGGTAAGATTTGATATTGTTTGAAAATGACAACATAGTGTATAGTACCAGCTTACTGTGTGAAAGTAAATGGTTTCCATCATTTTATTTTACTTTATTTTATTTTTAGCTGAGCCATCCTGCCACCTGTTGGCAGCTCAGCAGCAGCTCAGCTTGGTCTGGGAATCAAACCGCTGTTGCTCAGAGCTCGCACTCTTGAGCGAGCTCTTAACCAACTGAGCCACTTGGCTGGCCCTCCATCATTTTATAAAGTGGCTTTAACTGAGAAGATAGTGAATTTTTATATCTGCAGATTAAGTTCTGTTAATCTCAGATATGATTAC